TTCCATTATTTGTACATATGTCATATATCTATTCATCTACCTATTCTTTTTTTTTTTTTTTTTTTGTCCAACTTTGTTTTGATTTTGAGAAAGTGATGCAAAAGTGGGGGCAATTACTAAGCCAGTATAGCAATCCATGGTTATTAAGGCAAGGTTGAATCCCTTGAGTTTTTGGTTTCTTTAATTATCTATACTTATTTGCTAAATGCTTCTGCTGATTAGGAGGTTGATTATTATTTTGCAGTTGGTATCTTTAGAAAGAAAGGTACCAAACTATATGAAGCAAGCTTGAAGGATGAGAAGCGTTTAGATCAATGGCTTCATTGTTAAATTAAGCAAGTGTTTTAGTAAATAAATTTAATTTTCCCATCATGTTTACACCTTCAAAATATTCTGTAAATGACATTTGATGTAGAATTGTGTGTACAGAGGACATCTTTTTTGTATGATTATCTGTTTGTATGGAATTATTATTTTGAGTTGGATTATATTTGATTTGTATAGAATTTGATGTTAAAAGATCAAATTTTTGTATGGTTGAAACGAAATAGAAATAGATATATGTATTATTTTGTTTATATACAGGGTGCAGGTTGCACGAAATAAATACAGGTTGTGGAGAAATTAATTATAATTAAAAAAAAAAACACTAAATAAAGTTTTTGGTGACTACATGTTTGGTAGTCAAAAAAAAAAAAAAGAAGTGAATTTGTTGGCAACTAACCAATTGGTAGCCAAAAAAGAAATTAATATTTTTAGTGACTAAATATTTGGTAGCCAGAAAGAATTCAAAGATTTTTGGCGACTAAAAATTTATCAGCCAAAACTATTGGGATTTTAGGCGACTAAATATTTAGTAGTCAAAAATAAATGAGACTTTCGGCGACCAAATGATTAGTAGCAAAAAATAAAACAAAATGAAAAATATTTTTTTGGCGACTAAATTCTTTAGTCCCTAAATGTAGTAATATTGTGACTAAAACATATCTACGACTAAAAGTTTTAGTCGCTGAAAATTAAATTAATTTTATTTGAACTCTTTTGGCGACTAAATATTTAGTCGCCAAAAGATCACCTTTCCCCATTACTCAAAGTTTCATCGCCAAATGTTCACTTTTGGCGACTAATGTTTTCGTCGCCAAAAGATAACCTTTGTCGACTGACCAAAGTTTAGTAGCCAAAACGTTCTCTTTCGGCAACCAAAAATAGTTTGGTCGCCAATATTATCACCGATAGAGTATAGGCGACGACTTTGGTGACAAAAAAAATTAGTCGCTAATTAGTTTCGGCGACCAAAAATGGGACTTTTGGCGACCAATATTTTGGTCACCAAAAGTGTCATTTCTTATAGTGATAATCTCTCTCCCCCAATGAAATGTTCCCAAATCCTTTCATTTCAAATCAATAAATCCAAACGCAACTTAATTTTCAAACAAGGTTGATGATGAAATGAGGATTTTGTTGTTGCAGATCTGAACTGGTGGGGCTGGTTGACACGTCACTAAATGGGGATTTTGATGCCCAAGAAGCTTGCAGATACTTAAAGATTGGTCTTCTATGCACCCAAGACGCTCCAAAGCGCCGGCCCTCCATGTCAACCGTATGAATGAGAATGAGAAGACAAAGCCAGCCCTAATCTCTGATTTTATGGACCTCAAAATTAAAAGCAAACAAGGGTAATATTGACTTTTTATCAAAAATATCAATGGAGTTAGATTTTATACTTCACTCTAAACAACAATGTGGTTATGTGTATATTTTTAAAATATAAGGAGATGATGTGTTTTTCGATTAAATTACAAACGATAAAATGTAATGAACCAAAAAAAAAAAAATATTTTTAAAATATAAGGAGATGATGTGTTTTTCGATTAAATTACAAACGATAAAATGTAATGAACCAAAAAAAAAAAAAAATTACATATATAACATGTTTTTCAAATAGCAAAAATGTTCATCAAGTCTTAGTCACCTCATATTAAATGATAGTTTACCGTTTTAATATTTGATCACTTTCTCATTTTGACTTTTAAAGTTTGTTTTTTCTTATTTTGATCTTTCATGTTTGAAATTCTTTTCACTTTACTCCTAAAGTTAATTTCTGTTAAAAATTAAATAAAAAATACCACAATAACTGTCACATAACATAAAAAACATATCATTATATTAGTTATTAAATTTATGTCAGACATGTAAGTTATATATAATCAAATATTTTTATCTTATGCGACTATTAGTATGCCATTTTTTGTCTAATTTTTAACAGAAATTAGTTTTAAGAGTAAAGTAATAAAACTTAAAGGGGGCAAAATGTAATTCACCCAAAAAACAATTCACACCTATATCTATCATTTACTTTCCGTTAATCTATTAATTTAAACTTTGGTTTGGATTTTCCTAATATGGAAGAATTTGAGAGGTCTACCTTCACTACTAATAATTCGAATTATTCATTTTGTAAAATTTTCAATTTATATTATTTATGAAAAAAAAATTAATTTGATATAGTAATGGTAATATTTTTATTTTATCGCATTTGTCTCTAAAAAAATAGACAATAAATATATTTTTGAAAATAGTCCATTCATAGTTTTACAGATAAACACGATAAAATAAAAATGTTCTTTGATTCCCAGAAATAAGCAAGAAAAATATCATATTGACATAATTTTTTCATGAATGACATACATTAAGAGCCTTATAAAATGAGCGGTTCGGATCCTCGTGGTGGGCCTCACAAACCCCTCAAATGAACATCAGAGAAAATTAATCTCTTTTTTTTTTTTTTTTTTTGTGTGTGTGGATAAATTACAAATACTCCCCTTGAGTTTTGCTTAAAATACAAATCACCCCCGTGGCTCTAGAAATTATATTTCACCCATTGAAGTTTCTAATCTCATAATAAATGATCATTTTTATTAATAAATCATCAAGTCCATTAATAATTTTTAATGATGTCATAAAATATATTTTAATTAATAATTCAGATAATTTTATTATTGTATAAGAGAACATTAAGAATTTTTGTTCCATTTAATTCTATTAAATAAAAAAATTCTAACAAGGGGTATTTATAATTTTTAAAAGCACAAAGAGTAATCTATATTTTAAGCAAAATTCAAGAGATGTACTTGAAATTTATATATATTTTTTAAATGTGAGAAAATGAACCCTTCAAACTTCTCAAATTATAGATAGTTTTTTTTATAAATATATTAATATTTCGGGACAATTACAAAAACAAAATCTTAGAGTTTGAACCTTATAACAAAATTAACCCTAATTTTTAATTTTATCAATTTAAACCTTAAAATTTTTATTTGTTTTCAATCTAAACCATTTACCTATTTTCATTAAGTAAAATTAATGAAAAAATGGGTATTTTTATGTATACTTACATTGAGTTTAATGATTAAAATATTTTTTTTGTCTATTTTACTTAACGAAAATAAGTAAATTATTTAAATTAAAAATAAATCAAAAGATTAAGATTTAAATTGACAAAATTAAAATTTCTGGATTTATTTTGTTACAAAACTCAAACTCTGAAGATTTTTTTGTTTTTTGTTTTTTTTTTTTGTTTTTGTAATTATCTCTAATATTTTGTTTCAATCCAACAAAATAAAATATTTAAATTGTTTTTGATAAGTTACACCACTCATACCTAGAGCTTAAATGCAATTTTTTTTTTGAAAATTCATGATTTAGTATAAATTTTAAAAAAAAAATTACAAATTCATGAAAAAGTTTAAAATTTTAATTATTAATGTTTATAAATTTGTCACTGATTTGTATTTATTTCTTTTTTAAATTATTAATGATTTAAGTAGTTAGTTCTTATAGAAAATAATACATATAATTTTCCTTATCCTTACAAAGGAAATCTTTTGAATTAATATCACACACACACACAAAAAAAATCTAATTAATTATAGTCTAAACGAATTATAAATAATGGCAGAACAAGGAAAAGATTAAGAAATGAAATATAAAATAATATTAAAAATAGCCAAAAAAATCAGATAAAATGGATAATTACGTATTAGAAAAAATAAATAATAGTATAACATAAATAGAAGAAAACCTATATAAGCAATTAGAATTAATCAGTTTGCGAGAAATATACCAATTATAAAAACACAAATGCAGAGGATAATTAAGTTAACAATAAATTAAAATATGGGCCTGATCACAGTTTTTTTATAACGTTTAGGTTATATTTGGTTCATGGATATGAGGAGAGATTTGGAAGGGAAATGAAAGATATGTGAAATATAAATGAAATATAATTGCATTTCACATACATTTCACACAACTTTTCTCTTTCCATTTTCAATTCCTTTTCTAAATCAAGGATCAAACATAGTCTTAGGCTTATGTTCTATTTTTATATTGTCTTTAGGACTAAATTGATTCGAATTATATATTTTAGAGACATAATTGATAAAATTGAAACTTTAGGAACTTAAATGAAAAAGGTATAAAATTTTAGGGACTATTATTATAATTTATCTTATATATATATACAAAGAAAAACGAAAACAGTGAACTCAAATGCCAACACTCATGCGTGATTTTTTTTAAAAAAAATAAAATTAAAACAACTCATTGCTGGTATTCAAAGTTGGAGTGACTGGGTGTTCAAAATTGTAATGAGTGAACTTGTCAAACATATGTATTAGTAGTAAAAAAAAAAAAATTCAGGGTGTTTAATTAGCTAAAGGAGTCGAGTCGCCCCTTCACAATGCCAGAGAGACAGAGAGACAGAGAGAACCTGAAATCGATTTGAAAGAATTTTTTTCTGTCAGGATGCTGTTTTGCTTATTCTCAACCAATTTGAAGCAATTCTTGAAGGACAGTTGGGCAAAATTATTGCATTTGGAAGGACTCCTTGTTGGATTCATTATTCTTAATGATGGGCAATCAACAGCTCGTAGGTTCTTTATTGCAGATGAAATCTCTGGCAATTCTTGAAGCTTCTTGTAACCATTCAAATACAACTACGACAACCTTGAAAGTAAATTATTGCTTGCAGGTAAACTTTCCATATTGTTTCCACCTAGATATAAATCTTCCAATGAGTAGATGTGACAAATGGCTGTGGGGATAGATTTTAAATTACAGTAACTGAGATCTAGTTTCCATAAAGACAAAGCTGCTAGTTCAGAAGCCATGGAATTAGATGATATTCCTTTACACCCTCTTAGCGTTAGTATTCCAAGCTTCTTCAGAAGTCCAATAAAGGGTGGGAGTTCTCTAACTGCAGCCCAATCTGCATGAAGCTTATATAAACCGTCAAAAAAACCCAAATCTTGCAGTAATTTGTCAAGTTTGGAGCAACCAGAAAGGTTTAATTTTCTAATATCTTTCAATTGACAAATGATGTCTGGAATACTGCTCAAGTTTTTACAATTGCTTAGATTAATCAAACCAAGATTGGTAAGATGTCCAACTGAAGGTGGAAGTTCACTGATACCAGTCCCATCTAAACAAAGCTCTGATAAACATCTCATCTATTTCAAGCTGACCAAAATGTTATCAAGCTTTGAGCACCCAGAGACAATAAAAACTTCAAGAGATTCCAGTTGAATGCCGCATGGAAGACTCTTGAGACTTTTGCAGTCCTTCAAGTTCAAACGAATAAGCCTTTTGAGAACTCTAATGGATGGATGAAGATTAACCAACTTGTATAGCCTTCAAGAATCAGTCTTTCAAGATTTGGGACCCCCGTGAAGTCTGGGCTCTTCGTTAGATATGTGAAGTGACTAAGATTCATGATCCGTAACTTGCCTAGATGCTATTGAAGAAAAATAAAAATAAAAATAAATTACAGAAGTTATATAGAAATAAATTACGAAAATTATATTGCGTCAAGGTCTTTGCATCTTATTCAAAGTAATTAAAGAGAATGCATATTCATACCATAGTTCCCTCCCAAAGTTGTTCAATGTTGCTATAGGTTAAGTGAAGTTCAACAAGATGCTCTGGTTGAAATGTTGAAGGCATGTATTTCATAGGGCATCGTAACTAGTCAAGATACCTAAACTTGTTAGAAAGATATTTGAGGTCTGCAGAGAGGTACATACCACATATTTTGAGAATCCTCAAGTTCGACATCTTTGCAAAAGCTTTAGGCCTCAACTTCAATTGTTTTAGAAATCGAATGTCCTTTGGATTTGCACCTCTTTGGTCACTATACTGCATAACTGTGCCTTCCACTTTGTTTGTTCCCTAATAACCACAAGCAATTAACAAGAACACAATATTAGAAGGCTGACAAAATTATGTAGAGCTAGCTTTTGTTAATTAAACAATTTTTGAGTGTTCATGCTTTTCTATAAAACCTCTTACCGTATTCTCCGTCAATACATGTTTTATATCTTCATCAAGCCATAACCTAGTGCGCTTTCTAGGCTCTTTACGTGATTGCTCGCAAACAATATACTGCCCTTGTTGTTGTATCAAATCATGCATCAACAACTTATTGTCTAAGATAGTTAAAAGAGACTTTTCAAGAAGAACATTTATTCCAATAAATGCATGCAAGTCACAACCTTCTAGAATTTTTGTTACATCCTTTTTGTCCTTCCCTTTGAAAAAACATGCAATATCTAAGAATATTTATTGTTGTTCCCAATCTAATGCATCGTAACTTATTCTAAGTACTTGTCGAACTTGCTTGAGAGGGGCTTTCATTCAGTTTGTTTAATGAACTTTCCCATTCATCTTTGTTTTGACCACAAAGAAAAGAACCCAAAACTTTGAGAGCTAAAGGAACTCCGTTAGCATACTTTACTGCATGGCATACATGCTCTTCATACCTCCCATTTGTTGGTGTTTCCTGAAGGTTTTCGATTCAAAGAGTTCTATAGCTTCATTTTCTCTTAATTGCTCAACCTCATAGATATGTTTTATATAATATCTAGTTAACGCATGTTGATTTCAAGTCGTTATAATGATTTTACTTCCAAAACTATACCAATCGTGCTCTCTTACCAATTTCTCAAGGTCAGTTGATTCATCCACATCATCAAGCACGATAAGAACTTTTTTACTACATTCGATGTGCCTTGTCATAAATACTGCATCACCAGCACTTCCTACTTTCAAATCCTTTTCCATTAAGAATTCAGAAATGAGTTGTTTTTGCAAAGTTTTTAAACCACATTTTTCTGAAACTTCTCTAACATTCTTAATAAAGCTGTAACCGTCAAATTGGCAAGAGATACAGTCATAAACAGCTCTGGAAATAGTAGTCTTATCTATTCCACCCATTCCCCAAATCCCTACAACGCGAGCATCTTCCATCCCTAAACCTAGCAATTTAATTACTTTCTTCATACGAGAATCCAACCCAACTAAGTCTTCGACAATGCTTGAATATGTATGATTTAATTTTCTAAATGTATCCCGACAACTTCTTAGATGAGCATTGATTCAGACCTGTGCAGATTTAGGAGAATAGTAATAAATTTATTCATCAAAACTCAAAAGAGCTATAAGAAGGAAAAGTGTGATTATTTTGGTAAAATGGTGATTAATTTTACTCATTGCAACTGAATAGCACATATAAAATATAGTGTCCTTGTATTTGATATGATCATAAAGAAAAACATGAACAGTCTTTATTTGCTTTATTTTAATGGCACATTGGGTTTCTAAATTTTCCCACAATTGATCTACTTTACTAGTTATTGAACTATATTTGTTCAGTTCTACCTTACTAGTTATTGAACCATATTTTTTCAGTTCTACTTTAATTGATCTACTTTACTAGTTTTACTAGTCCAGTTCTATTTATAGAGTTGTTTATAGTATTTTTTTTTTTATTTCAAAATTTGTATAAGGGTGTTTGATGGAGCTTTTGTTTACATCTTATGAATAAAAAATATTGAGAAGAGATTTTGATTATTAACTTTTGGCCTAGTAGAAACCGCATCAAATCAGTTAATCTATATTTCTAACCCTCAACTTTAAGACCTTAAAGTTGTTTTTTGAATTTATGAGTTTGGTAGGGATTTGTAGAGGGAAAGGAAAAAGTGTTAGAAATAGTTAAATTTTTTCACCATTCCTCTGATCATTTTCTTTCCTCCATAAATTCATGTCCAAGCCCAAGGCTGGCTCGGACTTTTCAAGTCCAAAGCGAACTTTCAACATGGAGCCTTTCATACATATATTTTTTTTAAAAAATTATGTGTCTACTTACTTTTTTTTTTGGTATTTGACTGTACTCGTAAAAAGGTTACTTCCATTATATATATATACTAGTGTATGCCCGTGCCTGAAGGCACAGTGTAATTAATAATGAGATTAAAATATAAATCAAAATAAAATTATTAAAACATAACGATAAAATTTTCTTTGTTCGATCTTCTTTTTCAATAGTGGTGGACAGTCACAGAGCGGAGGTGGTGATGTGAACCTTATTTCAACACCCATTTCAAAAACTTTTTCAAAATCATAAAAAATCAACACTCATTTTCCATTAAGGAATTAAATCCATTTCATAAATCAAACTAAAAATAAAAATACATTTCTAAAATCAAAACCCATTTTATGAAGATCAAATATTATTTCAGACCCAAATCAAATCAAACCAAACCAAATAACATAGGTTACACCTATAAAACAACAAAAACAAAATCATAGGTTCCAAATTAGTATAGATCATAGATTTGGATAGGAATTTTAAATAAATAAAAAAAAATGCTAAGGGAAATGTCAATGAAATATAAGCTAAATTTTTTATCCATTTATCTCACCTTTCCCTTTTACAATGCAAGGGAAGGTAAGCCTCCATCTATTTACAGTGAGGTTACTTCTTTACAATTACCAATAAGTAACCAAACAAATGTGACATCACAACCCACAACTATGAGTGCCAAAAATCACAAAAATAATTTCTATGAGCATATAGAAAAACAAACCAAGCACTCTTGCTAGGGTAACTGCATTAAAAACCCCCTCCCCCCTCCCTAAAAATAAATAAATAAATAAAAACAAAATACTACACACTAAACCAAGTACACCAATCAGCTACTAATAAGCATGCTAGAAAGAGGCAATGCAAAAACAAATTTTCAATGTCTTAGTCTAAAAAAATTTCAATTATCTCAAATTTTCTTGGTCTTTCCCATTATCTAATCTGATACATATCTTTCCCTTCATCTATGATTCCTATCAACAGACAATAAGTAGCAATTAATAACAATCACTCTGACCAAAAGATAAAATAAAATACAATCACTGTTTCAACCCTCCATAGTGAGTGACAATTTTTCAACATGAAAAACACAATCACTCTTGCAAGTAAAATCTATTATATCATCACAATTAGATGACAACGTTGCAGCAAACAAAGAAGTCAGTGGATATAAAAAAAAAAAGGCACTAATCAACCACTAATCAAGAAAATTAAAAAAAAAAAGAAGATTGCCCAGTTCTTTTGGTTGAACCCACATGGCCAGCAGGTTTTCCTAAAACAGAAGATTGCCATTGTTAAGGTGAAAAAGCAATCTGACTGCCAAAAAAGAAAAGGAAAATGCAAAATCCACAGAGACATAGCAAGTTGAATACCAGATATTCATTGCAGGCAAACTACTCTAGAGTTGCTACATAAAAAGACCAATCAAACAAAGGGTTCCCATTGCAAGCAAGTTGTGGCCCTTTCTATTACCAATAAAAGTATTTGTCAAAGTTTTCATTTTTATGAATACCCAATTTCCCATATTAGAAAATCAAAAATCACAGCCCGATTTTTGTTTATAAGTTTCATTGCTTCTACATCCTAACTCCTCGTCAATCCTATCAAGCACCCTCGTCCGATAAGGTTTAGAAGGGACAACTTAACTGTATTGTACTCATGTCTGCTACTTTTCAACAGCATTATCCCTGATTTTAAACAAAGTTTCAACATCACAGCAGGCAATGTTGTATCAATAGAGATCAAAGAGAATAATGGTTATAACTATTCTTTCCAAACACCAAAAATGAACATGCACTCAGTACATTTGAGCGTATATTACATCACCCATGTCCATCATATCTAAAATAGAGGACTGCCCACCCTAGGTGGCGACAACCTTATAAATTCCTGGCTCATAATGACTAAGTAAGGAAAAACTTCTTTTGGACCATTGATCATGCCTCAGTGGTCTTCATCGATCATCGTTGGCCTATCATGGCTTGACGAAATCTAAGAACCACTATTTGGATAACTGTTTTAGGCTGTAAAAGATTTATTGGAACTAGCAACCTTTTTGCGCTCCTAACTTTTCACCATAAAAGCAGAAGGTAAATCCCTACGGATCTACTTATCCAATTCTCCAACGAGAAGTTGGGTCACAATGTCCACAAATCAATGTTCCGAACTTATGTCAATCATAGCCTAAGTCAAAATAACCTCACTCCCCAGGAGGAAGTCTTCTCATGCCTACACTTTTCTCAATGGTGCAACTTTTCGATATCTAGTGAGCCTTATGCCTCAATAATGACTATCCAAAATGCGCATAACTTTAGAACAGTTTCGTGTCTTAATGGAAAGTCAACCAAATTATAGAAATGGTTAATCCTTAAAGACTTTGTCTTCAACTGAGCAACATTGATCCACTTTCTAAAAACAAGGGACTAGAGCCTTTGGCATTATCCTAGGCTCTTTATCATCTTGCGGAGCAATCATGAATGTTTCCCTCTCAATCACCCAGTGATGATGTGGAAAATTTTCACATTCGCTGCTATGCAACTAAGAATGTAGAGTATTCTTCTCCAATGGAGTAATCCATTAGTAGGCACATCGCCCCCACTGCCCCTAGGATATTGGAAATTTCTTTCCATTCTCAACTAGGCTACATAAAAGCGCTATGCTTAGAATTCTCTATCTTATAGAGTTCCAAAACTCTATTCACGTCACCTTTACTAAGAAAACTTTATGTAACTTAGTTACACTACCACAAAGCTGCTTATCTATATGCACATGACCCGGAGGGTTTACATGAAAGCATACAATAATGCGCCACATGACCCTATGTGTTTATAAGACAGCATACAATAATGCGTTATAGAACCGTAGGTCTTAACTTCGCAACCTTATGAGAAGTTAAAATAAAGATAAGCGGCTTAACGGTTATAGATCACCCATAGATGGCTCTCCACTAACCCATTACTCAAATGGAGTGTAAAATCTGATATGGAGGGCACTTAGTCAGGGATATTGGCAACAAACTAAAGTGAATTCCCAATTGGGAAACATTTTGCGCCATCATCTACCTAACATTAACAATACTTAATTCCTTATCTCTACTACACTCTTGTGTTGCTGAGTACTAGGAATAATCAATTTTCTAAGCATCCATTTCTCTTCACAGAGCTTTCTAAAAAATAACTCAAATAGATACTCGTCACCTTGGTCAAAACTAAAAGCACAAAAGCTCTTATCTAATTGATCTCGACCTCATATGTGCAATGTCAAAAATCATTTCAAAACTTTTTGACTTATGGCAGATCAAATAGTCTTGACTAAGATGCGTATTGTAATCTACAAATGTGTCAAGATTTGGGGCTAGCTATCATACCCTTACACATATCCAGTCACAAATATCATAGTGGACTAAATGCGCCGATACAAATGCCCTTCTGCGGTTTTCCTACTTATTTGTGTGCAACCATTGCGAACAAAGTTACACATTCATATGAGAGCAGGATGTCATAAGCGAGTGGGCCCGAGAGGGCCAACTCAAACCATCCATGTCATCTTCTCATTAATGTGATTAAGTATAATAAGCCACCGGTTCATGACCAATGTCATAAACTAATTCCAATCATCCTAATGTGTGAGTTCTCGAAGACAAGTTTTAAAGGTTTAGGCCCAACTAGGTAATGACTCATGACTAATTCATATTCACTAGATCATAAAAGGATCTCATGGAGATATCAAGTGCGCCTAAGTCGCAAATTTAACTAGTAAGTGCTAATCCCCTACACCTTTACATCAATTTTATTCTCCATACACTTTACTACATCTAGTTGAAAGATGACGATGCTCCTCTTGCCATCTATGTTTCTCGCTTCATAGTTACTTGCAATTAATTCTACTATCCACAAGAAGGAGAGAATAAGTTATCAATCTATGATAGCTCTCGAAGTAACTTACGCGCGAATTAGGGTAAAGAGTCTAATTCAACACAATGCTCTCACGAGCCATGCGTCAAATTCTTAGAGTCATAACAACCTTGTTGGCCTTGACCTTTTGATTAATATGCTGTAACGTTTGCACTTAGTAGTAAACGTTATTCAAAAACATTAGCCTAGCTAAGGAACTATACAAAGAATCACCTCTTCATGTCTCACACTCAAGTGTGGAAACAGTAAGTGTCCAGACTTAGACAAGTTGGCAATGCTAATAGATTTTGCAGTCACTTGGCGCTAATCTCTTCACTTAGTGTTGATAGATTTTTCTGCTACTGAGCGCTAATCTTTTAACTTCAAGTGATACTTTAATGCACACTATTATAGTGCATGAAATTTTGCTCCATCCACTCCCAACAGTTGGATAGAGAGCAAAACACTGCTTATACTGGCTACTCATCTTACACTTAATGACTAATTCATTTAAGCTTGCATTTCTTGGATGACGTGACTCTTGAATGTTACTTCATCCAATGATGCAACATCATTACAAGTCAAATTACAAAGTCAACCCGCATAGCTCAATAGTCAAGATCATATACAGATCTATTGAGGGCTTACTAATTTCATAACTCCAAAATTCGCCAACCAAAACTACGTAGCGTGCCGCTAACCATAACGCACACATTAGTTTTTATTGTGCCAAACAAGGCAACAAAGCCACAGCGACTTTGAGTCATGTTTCCTTACTTTGGCCCAATTAAGGTCTGATCTAAAGTCTTCAAGACTTTTGCTCATCGAAAGAATATGATTATATTGTTCACATTTGAACATCTCTACTAAGTCTAGGTCAACCAAATTAACTTCCATAAGCTATGTCAATTTAGAGAGAAATTCGCATTGGGATTAATTTGATTAGCATAATATAATTTTGCCACAAAAATCTAAATTAAATAGTGACAATATTACACAAGTCGCAAGATCGAAAATCCGCTATGCTCGTAATCATCTCTTGCGCCATAGGTGACAATTATCCAAAATTTAATTTAATTTATGCGCAAAATATTAGTTTTCGGGAGTAAATCTATAAAGATTTTTCTCAACCGAATAACCTCCCACTGACTATGACATGTCTAAAAAAAATAATAAAATATTCTAATTCCATACAATAGCATCTTAAAGTAGATTCACAATCAACTCATGCTATGTTACATTTAATAATGGAATTTAAATAAAAAATAATTAATCATGCTATTCTAATTACAACATATTAGAAACTCTAAGCCAAAAACAACAATATGTTGTATTTAATATTCAGATTATGCCATAATAGAAAGTATATCACTTCTGAAATTTTCTGGAATTTTCTGGTATTTTTTGGAATTTTAAATAATTAATAAACACACATGAAATCATAAATAAATATTCTAGAATTTGAGAAAATGCAACAATCATACCAGTAAATAGTAGACCATTACAGTGGTCTACAGTAAAAATTTCAGCTCCAAAAACTTAATCATGCAACACCAGAAGCATTTTAAAGCAGAAATAATGAATTATTATTTCAGGAAAAATATTTTTTATTTTCATAAAATTTTGAAAATTTTACAGAAAATAGAAAATATAATTATGAGTCTAGCAGTGCCAACCACACTTAAAGCTATAACGAATTACTTATGATCATTTAACGAAATTCTGGATTTTTAAAAAAAAAAAAAAAAACAAACAAACCCTTACACCCAGCCGTCAAACTAGTCAAGCCGGCGCGGAAAATGGCACGGCTTGGCTCGGCTCAGCACGCAACTCAGCGCACGACGCGCGCGTGTGTAGCGCGAACATTGATTGGAAAACGGCGCGCGCATGCAAAGAATATTTATTCTTGTAGACATTGATTTTTTATTTTTTATTTTTTTGAGTAAGGGATCTAGCAATTCCTAGTAAAAAAAAGATTAATTGGTTAGGTAAAATATATAGTATATTGTTATTATGGAAAGCAATTCTTTAAAGTATGTGTATATTGTTAGGTATAAAATTTTGAAATTTAAATTTCTAAATCATAGGTGAATTCAATAGCCAATGATATTTTTCTCTTTTTAAAAAATAACAAATAATCAACATTATTTGATTGGGGTTTTGAAGCTCCTAGTACTCAAAATTAAAAACCTCATTTTCCTTATATAATAGATAGATAGATAGATAGATAGATAGATAGATATGGATAGATAGATAGATATCATTTTGTCCCAAAATCATTATCTCCATCGGTATGAATCGCTCTTTCAATCTCGCTCTCTTTCTCTATCCCTCAATCTCCCTCTCAATCTCTATCTCTCTGTCTCGCTGTCTCTCTCTCTCTCTCTCTCTCTCTCTCTCGTTTTCTTGAGTTCTCAACCTTGTAATATACTTGTCAATTTGTTGAATTTCAGGTGATTTCATTGCAAATTAGGTGATTTCATCGGTGTCTTGTGAGAATAGAAGTAAATTTGCAATCCTCAACCTCCTCTATCGCCTCTGCTTCTCTCTATCTGACTTAGGAAATCTAGGTTTTCAATTATTTGCAATTCTTTTCTCATATGAAATGTTTCTATCTATTTTCAATCTCTATCTTGATCTGAGAACTTGTTTAGCTCCTTATGTGATCAAATTGATCATAAACGTTTGTCAAACTGTGAAACTCTTGAGATTTGCGAAGTTTGTAAAATTGCATTACAATATTCTGTTGAACAAACACTAGAGAGTAAAAATCGCTCATGTCAATAGGTTGATTGTGTTTTGAAATATGAAAGTTTATGGAGTTCATTAGCTCCTTATGTGATCAAATTGATCATAAACGTTTGTTTTTCCTCAAGTGAGACTTGAATCTCAGTTTGTTTATTGTGAAAAATGTTACAAAACGAGAGCAAAAAAATGTGAAATTTTAAGGAGGCCGTCACCTAGAGATTGAGAAACAAAGATTTTAGTTGCATGCATTATCTGCTTTGGTATTTGTTGGATGGGAATTTTTTTAGTTTTTTTAGTTTTGCATAGAAATAGTTGATCTCAATTATTCCTATATATAACATTTTGTTTCTGGAAGTTTCAGTTTAAATTTGTCTGTAGTACCAGGGAAATATATGAATTTGTAGTTTTAAAAGTTGGTTTCAATTCATTTCTTTGGTTTTTTTGTTTTTTAGAGTAAGAAAATGCCTCGCACAGACCTTGTGGAGAGAATTCAGGGAGACATTAATGCCAGCATGCGTGCTATACTGATTGATTGGCTTGTAGAGGTAAGCCAAGCTATTGGTGACATTACCAAGTTGAATTTCTGTAGTTCATAAAAAAACAGAAAGTGCATTATTGAACCAGTTCATTCCATAAAAAAGTGGCATTCTTTTATGGCATCATAAATACCACCCTTGGTGTTATCTGGTTGTGAAAGTTTAGTCATTGTGAAGGGGACAGTTGTTTTAACCTTATAATCGGTACTTCATTTTGTTGTTGTTTCAGATAAGCCATTTAGTAACCAGTTGTCATGGCATCTTATTGTGGGTTGCTGAAGAGTACAGTCTTGTACCTGAAACTTTGTTTTTGACTGTTAATTACATAGATCGTTATCTTTCTGGCAATGTAATTCAGAGGCAACGACTACAATTGCTTGGTGTTGCCTGCATGATAATTGCTGCGTAAGATTTAACATTTTAGTTTCTTGTTTTCGGTTGTTCTTCTCCATCTTCTGTGTCTCTTCCTCTGTGTGTGTGTAGTGAGGAGAGAATGATAACTGATTATAACCTGTAATATGATAATGCTGCCAGTAAATACGAGGAGATTTGTGCACCTCAGGTGGAAGAGTTTTGTTACGTCGCTGACAACACATACTTCAAGAAAGAGGTTTGGTTCTAATCTTCAGATGGATTTTGCAATTCTAGACTTCTTTAAAGTGCTTTTGTTGTTAACCTGCATTACGCAATTTAATTGCTGCAGGTTTTGCAAATGGAATCTTCCGTGCTAAATTACTTGAAGTTTGAAATGTCAGCCCCAACCGCTGGATGTTTTTTAACGTAAGGGCCACCTGTCTGATCTTTATTGAAAGTAGTGCATTTTAGTGTGTTTCTCTATTCATTGACTTGACTATTCATGCAATTCTTAGGCGGTTTGTTCGTGCCGCTCAAGGAATTAATGAGGTATTTATCTCGGACTAGTTAAGTATTTAAACCATGGGTTCTTATTTAGATATCAACACTACACAGCTCTTATTTACTAGTAATTATTTGACATCTTGGGGATGTATTTATTTTCCTGCAGTGTTGCGCGGTCTATTAGCAACCAAATGGAATATCAAACTAGTTAAGTTGGGACATACAGCTCTGGTGGCCAGTACAAGCCAATTTGCTTTGGGCCTGCCTCAACTTGTTTTCTTACTGTTATCTGTCTGTATATATTAGTGGGATGTGATGTGGGTGGTCCACAAATTTTTTAAATTCATTGTAGCTTATTGTTAATTATTTTGTTAAGTAAGATTTGATTGATTCATGTCTCTTTGAATGTGTTATTTTTGTAGATGTTGCAACACTCTATTCATTATTGGCTCTCTGTTACCTCGAATATATTCTCTAATGAAGTTTCTGATATGATGGCAGATATAGTGTTTGCATGGATCCACTGGTGGACTGGACAGTATGTTTTATCATTAATGTGTGAAAATAAAGATCTCTGTTCTTTAATTCAGTAACACAGCTTTTAGTGTAACCAGGCCTTAGTTTTGTATTTTCTAAATTTATGTTATGAACCTTCTGTTTATTGGTGATTTGATTTGGGAATTTTGACTTAATAGGAATAGGTGTTATTTTGTCACGTAACAAAACATGACAAAACACTTGCTAGGGTGTTTTGTCAAGGGCTTGATTAACATTGTTATCTGTACTAAAGTAGCGATCTTCAAACTCCTCGTTCTAAGTACAAAAACTCCTTTAGGTGAACACGAAAGCATAGAATTGTCTATAGTTTTCTTTTGTTGTTATCATTGTTATTGTCTGCTTTTGTTCCCACATTATTCCATTGGGCTCATGAAATACACTTCTATTTATCATTAATGTGTGAAAATAAAGATCTCTGTTCTTTAATTCAGTAACACAGCTTTTAGTGTAACCAGGCCTTAGTTTTGTATTTTTTAAATTTATGCTATGAACCTTCTGTTTATTGGTGATTTGATTTGGGAATTTTGACTTAATAGGAATAGGTGTTATTTTGTCACGTAACAAAAAATAAAGATCTTTGTTCTTTAATTCAGTAACACAGCTTTTAGTGTAACCAGGCCTTAGTTTTGTATTTTCTAAATTTATGTTATGAACCTTCTGTTTATTGGTGATTTGATTTGGGAATTTTGACTTAATAGGAATATGTGTTATTTTGTCACGTAACAAAACATGACAAAACATTTGCTAGAGTGTTTTGTCAAGGGCTTGATTAACATTGTTATCTGTACTAAAGTAGCGATCTTCAAACTCCTCCATGCCTGGGATCACATGTGAATCCTTGTTCAGTGACATGTCAATCTCCCATGTCACAATTTTTAGCTTTGGGAATTTCTTACAAACAGCATGTCTTCCTTCAGGAGCCTGTGTCGTAATTTCAAAATTTTCAAAAATGAAATATAAACTATTAATAATTCTGTAGAACTTAAAATTGTATGGAGAGAAAACAATTAAACAATTCTCTTATCTAGGTGCCTGCTGTTTTTTGATTTTTATATCTATACTTCAGAGAGAATGTTGACTCTTCAAACAAATCTCTATTAAAATTTGTTTAGGATGTCTGAGAAGCCCAAAACTTCTAAGAGAATTGATGAGCAGTATTTCTCAAAAATTGTGGAAGACTTCAGTAGCCGAGCAATGAAGCTGGAAAGCGACTTGTTCAGGTATGAATCAAGTTTTCCATTCATGAAAACAATTTTTAGAAACTATTGTCCTGTATCAATTGGAAGATCAAGTATGCTACAGAGACCTGTACATGAAAATGTACCCTACACATGCAGCAGAAAAAAGATGCTAAATCTTCTCCCTTTTTTTTTAGTAGTTGTGTTAAGAAAATGGATAGGTATTTTTTTAAAAAAATCAGTTTTTGTTTGGTACTTGTGTCTAAGTAATTTCTTTTTCCTTTCCTTCACAAATCCAATATGCTAACAAGTTTGGTCTATTTACATAAATTTACCCATGAAACCAAAATTAGAGCTGAGTAGCCAAATGCAACACCTGAATCTGTACCTCCTGCAAAGTTAGCTAGATAATAAAGATCCCATCTATAATTACGTGCTCTTCCCGTCTTTTATGTGGGTCTTGCTTTCAGTTTGTGATGCAGATTAAACAAGACAGCATCAATTGTAGACAACTGCTAGAAATTGAAGCCGTTTGATCTTTTTGATCAAGCCCGGTTGTTGTCAATTTTGAGGAAGTATATATTGTTCTTAATATATTTTCATGAGAATTTAAGGAGATTCATGGAGTAACCCAATCATCTTTCCTAGGTTTGTTACATTAATCAACTAAATTTACATGTATTTCATATGAATTTCTGGTAGCTATGGCTTTGCAGCCATTCTTCTTCTTCTTCTTCCTTTTTTTCCAGGGTTGGTAGAAGAGTTGGCATCATGAAGAAAAACGGGATAATTGGCAACTAAATGAGGCACGGTTTCAGAGGTACCCTTTGGCTCTATTTGATAGCAATGTCGTTTAAAAAAGAATCTATCTACTAATGAGCATCTTAAATGTATTGGTTAGTAAACATGAAACCAAAATTAGAGCTGAGTAGCCAAATGCAAGACCTGAATCTGTACCTCCTGCAAAGTTAGCTAGATAATAAAGATCCCATCTATAATTACGTGCTCTTCCCGTCTTTTATGTGGGTCTTGTTTTCAGTTTGTGATGCAGATTAAACAAGACAACATCAATTGTAGACGTAAGAGTGGAATACCAGGAAATAGAGAAGTTCTCTGTCATATATTGAGGAAGTATATATTGTTCTTCATATATTTTCATGAGAATTTAAGGAGATTCATGGAGTAACCCAATCATCTTTCCTAGGGTTGTTACATTAATCAACTAAATTTACATGTATTTCACATGAATTTCTGGTAGCTGTGGCTTTGCAACCATTCTTCTTCTTCTTCTTCCTTTTTTTCCAGGGTTGGTAGAAGAGTTGGCATCATGAAGAAAAACAGGATAATTGGCAACTAAATGAGGCACGGTTTCAGAGGTACCCTTTGGCTCTATTTGATAGCAATGTCGTTTAAAAAAGAATCTATCTACTAATGAGCATCTTAAATGTATTGGTTAGTAAAGCATTTGAGGGTTGTACATTCTTCAACTATCCATTTTTATTGGGGAATGTTCAACCAGTTTAAGCCTATTATGGAGTGCTGTATGAGCACTACTAAGAAATGCCTCCAGTGACAGTTACCCTCTGCTGTAGCATTCTTCTTGGTGGAGTTTTGTTTACTAAATGCAGGTGGTTTTAAATCATAATTTCCGAACCTAGTAGTTTTAAACTTATTTTCCAAACTCAGGATGTTTCAAGAAGTTTTTTTCAGCAACTATAGTTGTGTTTTGAATCATGACTCTATAAAATAACTTGAGTTTGGAAAATATGTTTAAAACTGCTTCATTTGAAAATTCAATTTCCAAACATTTGCATTTGCTGAAAAAAACCTTGGACTGTATATAAATTATTGGCGAAGCTTCTAGAACTCCACAACAGATATTGGGGTTTTGTTTGGTGAAGTTTTGTACTGTGTCTATTTGTTGGTTTTTTTTTTCTGACTAAAGCACTTTATTGTAGGGGGGGACAAAAGGTCCCTGACAAAGATCTCATGTTTACTAGTAACTACTAAAATTCTATTGTTTGTTTTGTTTATTCTGATTAAAAGTACAAAGTATTCAGACAATGATTCTGTGGCCCTTATTTATTAATGTCATCATAAAATCAAGTAGGATAAGATGGATGGGGAGATTGAAAGAAAGACAAAAGGAGTGACTTATTGCAGAGGACCCAAAAAGCATTTTATTTTGGTTGGAACGATTGAATTGAATTCTAACACACACACATGGTTGAAATTGTCACCATTCGCTTCAGATGAAGTGAGTTAGAAAGAAGCATGTTAGTGTTGGTCATTATAGTTATGTTGGATGATGTGGGCTTTCATATAATTATTGTAAGCAAAGGCTCCCACATGCTGAAAATTAGAACTAACACGTCAGTCATTAGTGCCAATAATGAACTGCCATCAAAGGCTTAATCTGATTGGATTGGGTGACCATTTTCTTGTCTATTTATTTGTGCAAATTACGAATTGGCATCTATATTTTTGTACTTTACTCCAAGCAAAAGAATTTAGAGAATGAACCTTTTTTTTTTCTCTTGACAATTTCTTTTCAAATAGTTTTATTTTTATTATTTCAAGTTAAACTGCATTAAATTTTCAAGTCACGTGTATATGTTTTTGCAGGTTTTGTTGAGGGAGTAGTTGATATAATCGAGCGGCTGATGTTTGGGAGCTAAACTGAGGTTATGTTGCTTTTTCTTTTCTTTTCTTTTCTTCTTTTTTTTTTTTTTTGAGGACTTGAATCTTTTAGTACAATATATTTTAAGGATGGTTGATGGATATTTCTTTTTTATTAATGTCAAGAGAATGTTGGGTACACAGGTCTTTTGCTGAGGTCCAACACTCATGGCGGTTAGGTGTGGTTACCTAGGCTTCGGGTGCGGCTGCATGCCGAGGATGCGCACAAGACAACTAAAGGTATAAGTGATCATGGCAAGGTTAGGCAAGGTAGAGAGTACCAGATGCTTGGGCTAAGTGTGAGGTTAGGTAAGGAGTGATCTCAGTGAATAGATCGGAAGTTGAGCGTATAGAGACTGGTTTCACCGATAGAACATGAGACAATGAATGTTAAATAATAAATTCTTTACTAACAGAAAATTGGATTGTGTTGCTATGAGAAAAGGGAGAGATTCAAAAAATGGACCTGAGGATAAACTTGAAAATATATGAAACAAACACAAAACATGGATTAGAATGAGCTTTCGGATCAAAATGACTTTTCTTGAAGAACACATGAATACTATTTTCTCTTTCTAAATCGAAATTTCAAAGAATGCATGGCTTAAATCAATATTCAATATGCATGCAATAACATGACTTAAGAACAAATGAGTAATCAGAATGTACTTAAAAACTAGGATTCTAACGGTTCGATTCTAGGGATGCAATGTTGGAA